TCTTATTTGTGTGTATTTATGTGTGTGTGTGTGTGTGTGTGTGTGTGTGTGTGTGTGTGTGTGTGTGTGTGTGTGTGTGTGTGTGTGTGTGTGTGTGTGTGTGTGTCCCAGGGCCCCTTCACAGTAGCTCGCCGGGCCCCTGGGGCCATCAGAAGCTGCTGCAGTCGGGCCGCTGAAGAAGGAACCCTCTGCGTTGGGGAGGGGCTCAGTGCTCTTTGGTTGTTTTAGAATGTGTTCTTTGGTTCCCCAGCCAGCGCTTGCACTGAAGGGGTCCCAGCGGAGGTTGAAGGATTTGGCGGAAGTTTCCCGCCGATTTTGGTAGCAGACTGGGTTCCCGGTTCTGAGTTCCCGGGTTCCCCGTTATTGGTTCTGGGCCGATTTCGGTGGATTCTGGGTTCCCGGGCTCCTGGGCTCCTGGTCGATTTCCTCAGCAAAATCCATCCACTGATTGGGTTTTTTATTTGGTGTAAGTTTCTTTCGGTTCTCTATAGGACATCGAAGTCTAACTTATGGAACAACAGGGGCCTCGTTACTAATATTGGGTTCCTTAGGACAGCGTTTCGACTGTACTCGGGAACGGCTCGGGGCCCTGATGCGTGTCCCTCAAAAGCGCGTGGGCGTCTCGGATCGGCGCCGGGGCCTCCACCTTCCCTGACGCGCCAGGGGCGGCAGGGCTGGGGTGATGCCGGGGCGCGCCGCATGGCAAGGCTCCAGCGCCGATCCAAGAGGTCCACGCGGACCTCCGATAGTTCCGATGGTTTCTTGTCAAAAATGCTGGCCGTTCTTGTTTCTCGCGTCATCGTCAGCATCAGCATCGTCATCATCATCCTTCCCATCATCATCAGCACCATCATCATCGGCAGCAGCAGCCGCGCCATCAGCATCGTTACCACGATGTTCATACGCATCTTCATCCTCATATTCATCTTCGCTTTCGCCATGACCATCAGCGCTCCCAACGCAATATTACGTGTAATGCATTCAGTCGTTCCGTCAAGTCGCCTCGTCATCCCCAACGCAAAATTGCTATAGCGCAAATGGTCAGTTAACATCAACATCAGCATCATCAACATCATCACCAACAGCAGCAGCATCGTCATTCCATTCACCTGCACCTTCCACACCTTCCGCGCGTCAGGTGCCGCCGCGATGTGGCCTCGACGGGGGCCGCCGCTGCGGCCGCGGCGGCGGCCGCGGCAGCGCGGCACCTGCCGCGCAAGAGGTGCGGACGGTGAAGGTCGAGGGTTCTCGGCATGTCCCTGGGTGATCGGGGTATCCTTGCAACAGAAATTAGTTGTTTCCCTGATCGTCCGAGGTTCATGCCTTTCGTTCGCGATCGCCCTGGGTTGCCTGACGCTGGAGTGCTCTGCGCGAGCCACCAGGGAGCCGCCTGGCCCAGGGCACCCTGCGCGCCCTCTCCGGCGGGCGTTGGGCACGAAACCCCAGCCTGGCCCCAAGACTGTTCGGCGGTGTTCGGGGTTGGGTCTCTTGCGATGGGATTCTTCTTGATCCTGGCATCGCTCTGACGTGTGCATTTTTTTTCTCGGCGAGAACCATCGAGGAGCATCCTTGACCATTTCGCCAACAAAAACACGCACGAAACCGAAAAAAAACACAGGGAATGGATGTCCGAGCGATGGCGAGCGATTGATATTGAGTGTACACGTTTCCCCGCGCATGTCGGCGTATGCCTCCTTCGCTTCGCTCCACCACAGGGAGCTCGATGTGCGGCCCTAGTTTGGACAATTGCGTGCGTTCCCCCATTCGTTTCGGCACATCCCTCGCACGAGCCATCCACGGAGGTGTCCACCAACAGCGTTACATAAGCGACGGAAGAAAACGGAATCGATTGCGCGGACATTCGCGCGTAAGCTTCCCGCGTAAGGTCGCGCGTAAGCGTCCTCTTCTCCACGCGGCGTGCCACGCTAGCTGCCCGCTTCAGCCCTGACGTGAGGTCGCCAGCTGTCTTTCGCCGCTCGGATGCAAGTGCTAAGGGATGGGCCCATCCTTGGGATCCGCGGGCGCGAACAAGAAGCACCTCCTCGCGAAAAACCACGGCCAGACCCAGAGCTTCCCTGCAGCACTTCTCGAGCGCGATCGACCTCTGGTGGCCCGCAAGGGGGGCCCGCCACCGGGGCGACCACGCCCGGGGTGAAGACAGTGCCGCGCACGGATCGGGGGGCTCGCCGGGCAGATTCCCTGGGCTCTCCTCCTCCTCCTCCTCCTCCTCCTCCTCCTCCTCCTCCTCCTCCTCCTCCTCCTCCTCCTCCTCCTCCTCCTCCCCCTCCACGACCCCCTGGAGGAGTGCACCGTGGTCTGTCCCGAGGGCTACTTTGCGAACACCCCCAAGCTGGTGTGCGACGACGGCACGGCGCAGGTTCACCAGGGCCGGGCCGGGCCGCCATCCCGGCTCCGCCCAGGGATGGCTTCGATCCGGTCAGACCGGTGGGTAAGGCTTCGGGCTGCGCAGAGATCGCCCCGCCAGGTAGCCCCAGCTGGCCTCAGCAGGCCCCCCGAGAAGTCCGGGCCGGTACACCCTGCCTGCGCAGGCCTAGATACTCGGCGGGCTGGTTGCGGGTCGCCCGAAGCCTTACCAGTCTCCACGCCCCCTTCCCAGACGTGCGACGTTTCGATTCTTTCAATGCGGGGTCCCTGTGGACGTCCCGACCCTTTCCCAGGGACCGGTTTTTCATCCTGAGTCTTTTTTTGACGGTCCCGAAGCCCAGCGAGGGTTCCCAGGAGCCGAAAACAGCCAAAAACCTCCCGTCCTGTTTGTTTCTTGCTTGAAAAAAAAAACGACGCGATCATGTCTGGGCTTCCCTCCAGGAAGAGGAGCTGAGGGGAGGCCAGGGGGCGCGAGCGTTGGGTCCTGGCCTCCGCGGCAGGGGGCCTCGGAGCTCCAGTGCGAGGAGATCAGGGCGACGGGCGTGGACGGTGGCCTGGTGTCTGGAGCAGTGACAGGTGGCCGGCCGAGCAGAAGGTTGGCGCACCTTGAGATCTTGACGTCTCGATGTCTTCGAGCCTGGCGCTTTCGATTTGCTTTTTCGGGCCCCAGGACCCTCATATATCGATCCGGCTCGATACATTACGCAGAAAGATGGGGTCTAAGGCTCTGGGCGTGTTTTTGTTACGATGCTGTTTTGGTTTTCGCTACGTCGCATCTCAGGGCATGTCGCGGGCCAGGCCACGAGATCCGGCGTGGCGCTTCCGCACCGGGTCGGACCCTGGGGCCATCACATGGCGATCCCGCTCGACAGATGCCGCCGCGGGGTTCCAGTAGCTACCCAGATCTCCGACGACCTGATGTTTCCACCTTGGCATTGAGGTCGGCCTCGGGGGCCGGACATCGGGCCCTGGGGCCAGCAGATCTGGATCTGGGGTGCAAAACGAAGTGACAGTGCAGGTGTCGGGAGCCTTAGGGCCGCGGGTCGAGAAGCAGTCCTCTCGGAGGATGTCCAGGTACTCTCTGAGTACCCGGGCCCCCGGGCTGCAGGGCCCCCCCCCCAAGACTCGACTACACGTGAGTGTGACCCTTCGACGGAGTGACCTTTGGTGCTGGCCCAAAGGGGGTCGGGTGATTTTTCTTTTGGAATGAGCTCGACCTCGCGTCGGCACCCGCATCGCGCGATTACGCTCGCATCCGAGCGCGCCAGGTTCGGGCCCACCCCCTGCAATCGATTGCAACGCATACGCGTCGCACCCTACAGCTTGCATTGGTTACCCAGGGGGGAGCCGGTCGACCAGACGGCGTGTTTTCCGGCCCAGGACCAATCCCGAATTCCAGCCCAAATCCGAAAACGTCTGGTTCGAATATTTTTGGATATCTTTGAATATGTTTGAATATCTTTGAATATGCTTTTTCGGATAAATGGGGATCTTTATTGTTAGAAGTTATCCAAAGGTAATCAAACATATTCCAGGCTCTCGGATGGGGCCGGTTTTAGCCATGACGCCGGGCCTGGTCAGACGTCGTCGCGATGCAGCCCGGCAGTGCCAGACCTCCTCGCGGTGCCCCCTGGCAGCGTCTGCTTTCGCAGCGCTTTCGAAATGCCATTCGGGGCGCTCGAATTCAATCGGCCGAATTCCACGGATGCCCGCTGGCACAAAAATCGGTCGGGTGGCGCCACGCCGATCATTGACGCGGCGCGGCAACGCCGGCTTGCGCGATTGCGTTAGGCCCCCACGGGCGCCCCTGAAACCACGCACCAAAGGTCACTAGCCCAGGGTCACTCCTACGTGTCGTGTAGTCGAAAGATGACGACAAGGGCCCCCTCCGCCGGAATATTTGATTGCCTTGCGAGGGCCCCCAGAGGCCAAGAATTGCCAAACATCCGGCGTCGTGACTTGTTCCAGCGAGAGGAGGCGGGGGACATCCGCGCATCGCTCATCGTTGGGCGCGATGCGCGAAGTTTGGTGGCTTACCCTGAGGTCCGACGTCGCGAAGAAATCATCGCAACAGATCACGACCGGAGCCCTAGACCATTCCTGCTGTTTTTTTCGAGCCAGATCGATATGTGACGGTCCCGGGGCCCGAAGCATGGCGCAAACGCTTGGTGTGAAGAAACGCGCCGCCAGGATCTCGGGCTGGCCTCTTGGCCACCCCCCTGACTTCGGATCCGCAGTATGTTGTTCGATTTTCCCATTTCAGGCGTTCCAGAAAAAGGCCTTGCCTTCGAGGACCGAAGGAGTTGTCATCCCTTCCTCGGTGGAAGGCGGCGGAAAGGCGGCGGACGATCGGCGGAAATAAAACGAGGCCGCCTCCGGCGGTGGAAGCCGGCGGAAGCTCGGCGGAAGGCGGCGGAAGTAGAAGATGCGCCCCGAAGAGATGAACACGTTTTTGGGTTCAGGGTTTCTGGAGTCCGCCATTTCAGTTCGCACCGAATCAAGCGCCCTGAACGATACGGAAACAGCAGGGCGGACATCTCCGCCCCAGAAGTGGTCGGGCGGATACGTCTGCAAACGTGCGGTGGCAGGAGCGACGGCACAGCAGGGCGGCAATCTACACCTAAAGAGTTCGACAAGTAGGGTGGCCATGTCCGCCCCGCTTGCGGCATCGCCCAATGCTCAGCCACGCGCATCGAGGGGTGGGGGGAGGGGGGGAGGGCTTCTCAGAAGCACGCCCACTTCTTAGAAGGCGTGGGCCTTCTCTGCAGGTGCAGGGCCGGCGCCTTCTGAGCAGCAGGGCGCTGCTAAGAGGCCCTCCCCCCTCCCTCCACCCCTTTTGTGCGCGCCGCCAAAGGGTCCCAGACCCCCGACGTCATGATTTTTTCATGACGCGACCCCCAGAGGTCCCGACCCATTCTCCGGGACCGGTTTTTCGTCCTGAGTCGTTTTTTGACGGTCCCGAGGCCCGCCGAGGGCCCCCGGAGGCCGAAAATGGCGAAAAACCTCCCGTCGTGATTTTTTCACGACGCGAGGAGGTCTGGGAAGGGTGGCCATGTCCGCCCTGCGTGCGGCGTCGCCCAGTGTGCGGCGGATCCGGAGCCGGTGTCGCGCCGTCAATTGCGCCGGCCGAGGCGGCCTGCTACGGGACGTGTGCCCCGCGGCGGCCAACCTGGAGTGCACCGCCGCGGTGGGCTCCACGGCCATCTTCGTCCAGTACGGGGGCATCGACCAGGCCGGGCCACGTCCACGAAGAGAGGGGGCCCCGAGGCGTAGATTTACGTCGGGCCTGTCCCACTACAAGAGGAAGAGTCAAACACACAGTTGTTCTGTTATAAAAATACAGCTTGGGGACGCTTTGTTTGAGCATTCTGAGGCCATTTTGGAGCATTGTTATGGCATTTGGTTAATTTGTCGTCCAAAGTCCGCCTGTAGGGGGACATGCCCGACCTAACTGAAGAGAGGGGGGCCCTGAGGCCCAGGCCCCCCCGAGCCGCGAACCAAAACCAGGGCGGGCGGCGTTTGGAAAAGTCTCTTCGGCCCACGAGGGGGGCTGCGCCGGGCCCCAGGACTGTCAACAGAACAACTCGGGACGCAAACTAGCCCGGGGGAATGGGTCGAGACCTCGACGTTCCGAAATCGGGCGCGGCAAAGAGGGGGGTGATGACCAGTAGGGGGGGGGGGGGGGGGGAAAAAATGGCGGGGCCCACGATCTTCCCCCAGATGTCATGGCGCCTCTTCTCCTTGCACTGCGTCCCTTGCCCCCCCCCTCCCCCCCTGGGCCGCGCACATGCCGCCGGCCATGATTTTGCACCCCCCCCCTCCTGGACAACCCGCTCTTGGACGCCCCCGATGGCACCAACATGGCGTCGGCTGTGGGGATTTGGTCTGCTTGATGGGGGCATTCTCTTTCAGCTCGGCCTCCCCGGGCCCCTCGCGGGCCCAGGGGCCAGCAAAGACGGATCGGGGGAGGAGTCGCCAGCTCCCAGGGCCAAGCATTGAACAAATGATATCGGAGGATGTCTGGGAACCTCGTCCTCCTGCTCCTCCTCCTCCTCTGCCTCCTCCTCCTCCTCCTCCTCCTCCTCGATCCTCCTCCTCCTCCTTCCTCCTCCTCCTCCTCCTCATCTCCTCATCATCATCATCATCATCATCATCATCATCATCATCATCATCATCATCATCATCATCAGCATCAGCCTCAGCATCAGCATCAGCATCAGCATCAGCAAACAGCATCCGCATCCGCATCCGCATCCGCATCCTCCTCATCCTCCTCCTCCTCCTTCTCCTCCCCTCCTCATCCTCCTCTGCCTCCTCTGCCTCCTCCTCCTCCTCTTTCTCTCCTCCTCCTCTGCTCTCTGCCTCCTCCCTCCTCCTCCTCTCCTCCTCCTCCCCTCGATCCTCTGCCTCCTCCATCCTCCTCCTCGATCCTCCTCCTCGATCCTCCTCCTCCTCCTCCTCCTCCTCCTCCTCCTCCTCGGGCCCGCTCCTCCGTCCCGCTCCGCGGCGGCGTCTCCCCGTGGGCCCCGCGCCGCGCTCGGCCTCCCCGTGGGCCCCGATGCCGCGGCTTCTTGGGTCAGCTCGCGGCGTGGGCCCCCGGAGGAGGATCGAGGAGGCTCGAGGAGGATCGAGGATCGAGGAGGAGGAGGAGGAGGAGGATCGAGGAGGAGGAGGAGGAGGAGGAGGAGGAGGAGATCGATGAGGAGGAGGAGGAGGAGGAGGAGGAGGAGGATCGAGGAGGAGGAGGAGGATCGAGGAGGAGGAGGAGGAGGAGGAGGAGGATCGAGGAGGAGGAGGAGGACGAGAGGAGGATCGAGGAGGAGGAGGAGGAGGAGGAGGAGGATCGAGGAGGAGGAGAGGAGGAGAGGAGGAGGAGGAGGAGATCGAGGAGGAGGAGGAGGAGGAGGAGGAGGAGGAGAAGGAGGAGGAGGAGAAGGTCGGGAGGATCGAGGAGGAGGGTCGAGGAGGAGGAGGAGGAGGAGGGTCGAGGAGGAGGAGGAGGAGGATCCCAGGGAGCGGATGCGGATGTGTTTTTTTGTCCAGGCCTCCCAGATGGGATCGGAGTATGGGGTCGGAGGATCGCGCCGCTTCGCCGATGCGGCCTCGATGCGGCAGCGTCGTTCTCCGCGCCGACGTCGCGGATCCATCAGGGACGTCGCCGATGCATCGCCGATAGATCGGGGTTGCATCGACGAGGCGGCGAGATCCTCCGACGCCATCTGAGAGGCCTCTATTCCCAGACCCACCCCCGACGTCCTGATCTTTCCACGACGTGAGCCCCCAGCGGCGCGGACCCACTCGCCAGGACCGGCTTCTCGTCCCGAGCTCTTTGGTCGACGCCCCTGAGGGCAGGTAAGTCGACTGGACGTAAGAGCGGCCTTTCGCTGTAGTGACCTTCTGGTGCGGGCCCAACGGGCCCCCCCGATCACCGAGCGCGATGCGATAATTAGGTGGCGACTTGCGCGCTTGTGTCCGAAGCCCCACCGCGGCCCCCCAGAGAGCCGCGCACCAGAGGTCACTCTTGCCCGGGATCACCCTTGCGTGTAGCCTTATGATGCTCCAACCTACTTTAGCCTTGATCACCAGGAAGAATTTCGAGCGCCCCAAACAGTACCGAAACTCAAAGGTTTCACGTGTCGGGCCCGGGAGGCACTCTCCCGACACTGTTTCGACACTGTTTCGACACTCTTTTGACACTTTTCCGGGTGCTCGAAATTATTTCTGGGATGTGGTCTTCAAGTCGGATGGGAACAACATAAGTGCAGCCGAAGATAAAGGGCCCCCAGAGGCCGAAGGTATCGAAAAGCCTCCCGCCAGTTCTGTGTCATTGGCTCGGAGGGGTCCGAGTCCCGTGGGCCCCCCTCCCGGGGCCTTAAGGGGGCCTTCGGGGGCGCTCGGCCTCGCGGGTCGAGGAGGGGGGCGGGAGGAGCGGAGACGAGGAGGATCGAGGATGAGGCTCGAGGAGGGAGGTCGAGGAGGATCGAGGAGGTCGAGGAGGATCGAGGAGGATCGAGGATGAGGATCGACGAGGTCGAGGAGGATCGAGGATGAGGATCGAAGAGGAGGGTCGAGGAGGAGGAGCAGGAGGTGGAGGAGGAGGAGCGAGGAGCCACGGTTGACCAAGGACCGTGGCAGCGCGCCAGCTCACGGGGCCAGCCGCGAACGCACGTCTGTTTCAACATTTACCTATTACATCCGTCCTTTCCCACATGGTTAACTTTGATTGTTATCCTTACTGTACACTTGTATCAGTATGTCTTAGCCCTGGCGTTGCGCAGCGCTAATTACTTGCACAGCCATTCTGGCCAAGCCCTACCACGGCCTTGACAATTACAGCGTACGCCCACACCGACTAGCACCACTTGCACCGCCATTATGGGCAAGCAGCTCCACCCACAATGCAGCATCTTGCAAGCAGTATCACACCGACTTCGTCGACCTCGAATCCTGCCTGGCACCGCCGCGAGCGGGAAAATACTAAGGGCAGCCTCAGCGCGCACCCTACTTGATCAACAGACTCAGCAATAGCTTCGCACAGCTAGACACCTTCTCGACCAGCATCACAGCGCTCATCAACCATCGAGACAGCCAGTCCACACAATGTCCAGCTACGCATGTTCACCTCAAGCCAAGGGCAAAGGCAAGTGGAAACACTAACACCAGCATAGCCACAACAAGGGAAGGGACCCACTTGGCAACCAAGTGGCCACACGGGTACATCGACCCAACACACCAAGCGGGTTACTCTACGACACCACAGCAGCAAAACAACAATGCATACCACCAACCAGCCAGTACACCATACTGGGAACAGACAGCACACACGCAAAGCCCATCAGGACCGACAACGACAAAGCAGGAACACGAACCTCACCCGACGCTACCACAGCAAGAAGCAGCGACTACCTACCACAGCCAGTTTTCGGATCCACTTCAAACCATGTTGCATACACTAAAAAGGGAGAGCCAAGCACTCATCGACGACATACCAGAAGGATCCCACAACGACGTACTACACATCCGGTCAGTAAGAAGAAAACCATGGGATAAGAAATCTTTCGGGTGATCCAGGGGTCGGAAAAATTAGACATTAGCCATTCAATTCCCCGGCAGTTTCTTAGCTGGCTGGCGCTCCCAGGGCCCTGGCGCGCCCGCGCAGGCTGTTGTTCATTTGCGACTTGGCATGGCTTCCCGAAAGCGCGTCCGAGGACACCAGGCGGTGGCGCCGACCTCTGGCTCGCCCGCGTTGGTTCTTGCTTCGTTGCGACTGCGCACGGCTCCAACGAAGCGCGCCCGAGGATGCCAGGCGGTGGTGCCGACCTCTGGCTCGCTGGCGTTGGCTTTTGCTCATGCGCGATTGCGCACGCAATTGGGCGCGCTCTGGTGCACTGGCGCAGTGATGTGCAATCGCAAACAAGCAGAAACCAACGGCGGCGAGCTAGAGGTCGGCGCCGCCGCCTGGCGTGCTCGGACGCGCTCTAGCGCAGCTATGCGCAATCGCACGTCAGCAAAAACCAACGCGGGCGAACCAGAGGTCGGCGCCGCCGCCCTGCGTCCTCGGACGCACCCTTGCGCAGCCATGCGCAATCGCAATTAAGCAAAAACCAACGCGGTCGAGCCGAAAATCGGCGCGACCGCCTGGCGCCCCCGGACGCGCTCCGGCGCAGCCGTGCGCAATCGCAAACAAGCAAGCACCGACGCGGGCGAGCCAGAGGTCGGCGCCACCGCCTGGCGTCATCGGACGCGCTTTGGTGCAGCCGTGCGCAATCGCAACTAAGCAGACGAAAGCGCCGGCGATCCAGAGGTCGGCGCCACCGCCTAGCGTCCTCGGACGCTCTCTGGCGCAGCCGCGCGCAATTGCAATGAAGCAAAAACCAACGCGGGCGATCCAGAGGTCGGCGCCACCGCCTAGCGTCCTCGGACGCGCTCTGGCGCAGCCGTGCGCAATTGCAACGAAGCACTGGCGTCCTCGGACGCGATCTGGCGCAGCCATGCGCAATCGCAAATGAGAAAAACCCAACGTGCACGGGCCAGAGGTTGGCGCAAATTGTACATGTGCAAAAACAGCACGGGCGAGCCAGAGGTCGGCGCCCCCGCCGGGCGTGCTCGAGCGCGCTCTGGCGCAGCCGTGCGCAATCGCAAATGAGCAAAACCAGCGTGCGCGAGCCAGGTGCCAACGGCGCCGCCTCGCTCTGGCGCAGCCATGCGCACTCGTAGATGCGGAAGATACAGCGCGGGCGAGCCAGACGTCGGCGCCGCCGCCCGGCGTCCTCGGACGCGCTTTTGCGCCGCCGCGCGCCATCGCAAATAAGCGAAAACCAGCGCGGGCGAGCAAGAGGTCGCCCGGCGCCCTCGGACGCGCTCTGGCGCAGCCACGCGCAATCGGAAACCAGCAAAAACAAACGCGAAACAAGCGCGGACGAGCCAAATGTCGGCGCCACCGCCTGGCATTCTCGGACGCGCTCTGGCGCGGCCATGCGCAATCGCATCCCAGCAAAAACCGACGCGCGCGAGCCAGAGGTCGGCGCCGCCGCCCGGCGTCCTCGGACGCGATCTGGAGCGGCTATGCGCAATCGCAGATCAGATAGAACCCGCGCGGGCGAGCCAGACGTCAGCGCCACCGCCCAGCGCCCTTGGACGCGCTCTGGCGCAGCCATGAGCAGTCGCAAATAATCAAAATCCCCCGCGGGCGAGCCAGAGGTCGGCGCCGCTGCCCGGCGTCCTCGGACGCGCTCTGGCGCAGCCATGCGCAGACGCACATAGGCAAACACCAACGCGGGCGAGACAGAGGTAGGTCGGCGCCGCTGCCTGGCGCCCTCGGGCGCGCTCTGTCGCGGCCATGCGCAATCGCGGAGGAGCAAAACACAGCGCGGGCGAGGCAGAGGTTGGAACGCTCGCACGGCCTCCACGGGCGCGCTCTGGCGCCGCAGCGCGCAATCGCACATGCGCAAGAAACCGGCGCGGGCGAGACAGAGGTCGGCGCCGCCGCCCGGCCCCCTCGGACGCGCCCTGGCGCAGCCATGCGCAATCGCAAATCAGAAAGAACAAGCGCGGGCGAGCCAGATGTCGGCGCCGCCGCCTGGCGTCCTCGGACGCGCTCTGGCGCCGCCGCGCGCAATCGCACATCTGCAAGCAACCGGCGCTGGCGAGCCAGAGGTCGGCGTCGCCGCCCGGCGTCCTCGGACGCGCTCCGGCGCGGCCGCGCGCAGCCGTGCACGCGCCAAAATCAACGCCAGCGAGCCAGAGGACGACTCCGCCCGGCGCCCTCGGACGCGCTCTGCTGCAGCCATGTGCATTCGCAAAGAAGCAAACGCCAGCGCGGGCGAGCCAGAGGTCGGCGCCGCCACCTGGCATCCTCGGACGCGCTCAGGAGCAGCCATGCGCAACCCCAAATGAGCAAAAACCAACGCGGGCCAGAGGTCGGCGCCACCGCCCGGCGTCCTCGGACGCGTTCTGGCGCAGCCATGCGCAATCGCATGGAAAAACCTTGGGCGGCCAGCGCTCTGGCGCAGCGCCGTGCGCAATCGCGCCCGACGTCCTCGGACGCGCCCTGGCGCGGCCATGCGCGATCGCACGTCAGCAAAAACCAACGCGGGCGAGCCAGAGGTCGGCGCCGCCGCCCGGCGTCCTCGGACGCGCCCTAGCGCGGCCATGCGCAATCACACGGGAGCAGAAACCGCCGCGATCGAGACAGAGGTCGGCGCCACCGCCCGGCGTCCTCGGACGCGCTCCGGCGCAGCCGCGCGCAATCGCACGCAAGCAAAAACCGCCGCGATCGAACCAGAGGTCGGTGCCGCCGCGTCCTCGGACGCACTCTGGCGCAGCCATGCGCAATCGCAAATGAGCTAAAACCAGCGCGGGCGAGACAGATGTCGGCGCCGCCGCCTGGCGTCTTCGAACGCGCTCCGGCGCAGCCATGCGCAGTCGTAAACGAACGGAAACTATCGCGGGCGAGCCAGGCGCCGGCGCCGCCGCGCCCTGGGCGCGCTCTGGCGCAGCCGTGCGCAACCGCAGGCAGGCGAGCCAGGGGTCGGCGCCACCGCGTGGGGTCCTCGGACGCGCTCCGTTGCTTGGCGCAGCCCTGCGCAACCGCAAAGAAGCTATAAGCAACGCGGGCGAGCCAAATGGTCGGCGCCGCCGCCCAGCGTCTTCGAACGCGCTCTGGCGCAGCCGCGCGCCATCGCATTAAGCAGAGAGACCAGCGCGAGCCAGACGTCGGCACCGCCGCCCAGCGCCCTTGGACGCGCTCTGGCGCAGTCATGAACAATCGCAAATAAACAAAATCCGCCACGGGCGAGCCAGATGTCTGGCGCAGTCATGTGGCGCAGTCATGTGCATGTCGCAAACAAGCAATAACCAGCGCGGGCGAGCCAGATGTCGGCGGCGCCGCCTGGCGCCCTCGGACGCGCTCTGGCACAGCCACGCGCAATCTCAAAATATGTAGAAATCTACGCGGGCAAGCCAGATGTCGGCGCCGCCGCCTGGCGTCCTCGGACGCGTTCTGGCGCGGCCATGCGCAATCGCACATAAGCAAACACCAGCGCGGGCGAACCAGATGTCGGCGCCACCGCCCGGCGTCTTCGGACGCGCCCAAGCGCAGCCGTGCGCAACCGCAAATGGACAAGCACCAGCGCGGGCGAGCCAGAGGTCGGCGCCACCTCCCGGCGTCCTCGGACGCGCTCTGGAGCAGCCACGCGCAATTGCAAGTGAGCGAGAACCAGCGCGGGCGAGCCAGACGTCGAATCGCAAATGGGCAAAAACCGACGCGGGTGAGCCAGAGGTCGGCGCCGCTGCCGGGCGTGCTCGAGCGCGCTATGGCGCAGCCGTGCGCAATCGCAAATGAGCGAACGAAACCTCCAGTGGCGAGCCAGAGACGGCACCACCGCCAAGCGTCCTCGGACGCTCTCTGGCGCAGCCATGCGCAATCGCAAATGCGCAAAACACCAGCGCGGGCGAGCCAGAGGTCGGCGCTGCCGCCTGACGTCCTCGGACGCGCCCTGGCGCGGCCATGCGCAATCGCACGTCGGCAAAAACCAACGCGGGCGAGCCAGAGGTCGGCGCCGCCGCCTGGCATCCTCGGACGCGCCCTGGCGCGGAGTTATGCGCCACGTTGCCATTGTTCGCTACGCTTGCTGCTCCTGGAACAGCTTTTTGCATCGGAGGTCTCGCTGGAGCCATGCGAACGGGAGCGCTGACCCAAGTTATCCCGCTGCAAACAGTTTTCCCGCCGCAGACAAAACAACAAAGAGGAGCAGGAGGAGCAGGAGGAAGGAAGAGGCGGGAGGCGGGAGGCAACGCTCTGGAGCGGGGAGACGGACAGAGCAGGGAAGGGAGCGGCGAAGAGGGCTTTCTGCCCCCCGACCACAGGAAACCTGCGCCGCTCTGCTGGAGGCGCGGGGAGGGGGGGGGGGGAGGGGGGGGCGTGAAGCGCGAGGCGGCTGCGGCGGCCGCGCCCCGCGGCCCCCGCCAGCGAGGGGTGCCCCCTCCGAGCCGCGGGCGCCGAGTTGCGGCGAGCACGCCCGGATCCTGGACGGGCGACCCAGGTCCCCGAAGGTTTTCGGGCGTTTCCGTCTGCGTTTTCCAGCCTCGGGGTGCTTCTCAGCGGCCGCGCCTCGTCGAGGGCGTGCCGGGGGCGCCCAAGTCGTCCCGAGCGGCCACCGGAAGGCCCGATGTCATCGCGTGGCGGAGAGGTCCAGACGGAAGGGTGTTTTGTCCTTTCTGCCTCTCGGGGGCCTTGGCCAGGCCCCGGGGCCGTCAAGAGGCGGCTTGGGATGGAGCGCCGGTCCGGGGGACTGGGTCGAGACCTCTGGGGGTCGATGTTGTCAGAAGTCATGACGTCGGGGATGAGGATTTGATGTGTTCGATCGTTTCTTCTTTCAGTCCGGGCTCCCACGGCCGCTCACGGGCCCCGAGGCCATCCAAGATGGATCGGGGGAGGAGTCGGCAGCTCTAGGGCCGCGGACAGAACATGCAATATACGAAGGAGGATGTCTCGGAACCTCCTCCTCCTCCTTGTCCTCCTTCTCCGCCTCTCCCTCCTCTTCTCCTCAGCCTCTTCCTCCTCCTCCTCCTCCTCCTTCCCCTCCTCCTCTCTTCCTCCTCCTCCTCCTCGTCCTCCTTCTCTTTTTCCTCCTCCTCACCTTCCTCCTGACCTTCCTCCTGACCTTCCTCCTCCTCATCCTCCTCCTGCTCCTCCTGCTCCTCCTCCTTCTCCTCCCCCTCCTCCTCCCCCTCCTTCTCCAGTCCTCTTCCTGCCAGCCTTACAGAGGAAGATCCGCTTGTCGACTCTTCCTCCTCCTCCTCCTCGTCCTCGTCCTCCTCTTCCGCCTCCTCCTCCTCCCCATCCTGGCGCGCAAGGTTTGCCCACACCAACTGCACGAGCACCGCTTCCAAGGATGGGAAGGCACACGTGCCCAGCCCGAATCGGCAGGGTGAGTGATGCCCACCCTCAAGGGCATCAACAGCGCACTACCGTCCTCATCCACCTCTTCCTGTTATCTTTTTTATATAAAAATTAGGTGTGTACATATATATATATGTATCCGATGTTTCTCTCTCTCTCTCTCTCTCTCTTTATGTCTCTCTTTGTTGTTGTCCTCCCTCTCTCTCCCTCTCTCTTCCTCGCTTGTGCTCTGCTGAGTGCCCCCAGAGTCGCAAACGCGTCGGCAAAAAGAGTGCTGGCTGATGAGCTGCAAGCGTCTGTGCGGGTGGGCGGCAGAGTTGGACCAACAAGGGAAAGACTCGTGGCACACGTTCAGACCTGTATGAATCCTCCTCCTCCTCCTCCTCCTCCTCCTCCTCCTCCCTCCTCCTCCTCCTCCTTCTGCTCCTCCTCCTCCCCCTCTTCCCCCTTTTCCTCCTCCTCCTCCTCCCCCTCCTGCTCCTCCTCCACCCCCTTCTCCGCCTCCTTCTCCTCATCCTCCTTGTTTCTCCTCATCTTCCTCCTCGTACAGATGCAGAATCCTGCCACATGGATGTGAATGCATTGCGTGCATGTGCGTGTTAAAATTCATACCAACACATACGCCGGCTAGTGTTGCGACATGATTGGCATGTGGCATGTCGTATCCAGACGGTGTAAGACGTCTTGGCGCATAGGAAGGCGTGCCGCGAGATGCCCAGAGAGAAGCACAGACAAGGATGAGTACACGTCTTGGTATTTTCACGTGGGCATCTTGAGCCAGACGCATACAGGAGGACCGTACATAAGCGGCTGTATAGTTCTAGTCACCTGCTGAATGCTCACGTAACGTTGGATCGTACTGCTTGAGACCCCCGCTCGTGGATCACCAGCACTATCCCAGACCCCGATGTCATGATTTAGTTCGCAACGTCGACCCCTAGATTCGACCCACTGCCCGGGACCAGCTTGTCATCACAAGTCGTTGTTTGATGGTCTCGAGGCACAGTGAGGGCCCCCAGAGGCCCAACATAACGAACAACAATCCGTCGTGATGTGTTCACGACGCGAAAGTGTCTGGGCACTGAGCGCTGCCCGAGTGGCCACCGACCAGGTCCTCTCCGTGGCGAGTGACACCAGTCCAGCTGCCCCGAGGAATGCCGCACGTACAACGAGGCGTTCGACTGGGGCGAGTACGCGTCCGGGGTGTGCACCATGGGCTGCTTCGCGGAGGTCGTCCTGCAGGAGGCCCTGGCCGCGGCGGCGGCGTCCATCAACTTCGGCGACGAGGTCTCCAAGGGGAGGCGGCGCGACCGCCCCACACCGCACCCTCCTCCTCCTCCTCCTCCTCATCCTCCTCCTCCTCCTCCTCCTCCTCCTCCTCCTCCTCCTCCTCCCCCTCCTCCTCCTCCTCCCCCTCCCCCTCCCCTCCCCCTCCTCCTCCTCCTGCTCTTCCTCCTCCTCCTCCTCCTCCTCCTCCTCCTCCTCCTCCTCACAGAGCCCAAGTGGATTGAAGGATCGCGCCGCATCGCTGGTGCATCGGCGGTGCGTCGCGGTCCGGTGCAAGATTTTCTACGCCCCGACGTCGCCCCATGAGGTCTGGGCGGTGCAATTTTTCTCACCTGGCGGTTTCGCAGGGTTTCGGGCCCTGGGGCCATCCCAGATCGGTCTGGCTTGAGAAAATCCAGCAGAAAGATGGAGTCTAGGGCTCCAGCGGGGAATAACGCAGAATCACTTGCGTCTGGGGCGACGGAGGGAAATCAGAGGAGGAGGGGGAGGAGGAGAGGGAGGGGATGGAGGAGGAAGAGGAGGACGAGGAGGAGGACGAGGAGGAGGAGGAGGAGGAGGAGGAGGAGGAGGGGAGGAGGAGGAGGAGGAGGAGGAGGAAGGAAGAAGGAGGAGAGAAGGATAGAGGAGGAAGGAGGAGGAGGAGGAGGAGGAAGGAGGAGGAGGAGGAGGAGGAGGAGGAGGAGGAGGGAGGAGGGAGGGAGGAGGGCAGAGGAGGAGGAGGGAGGAGGGAGAGGAGAGGAGGGAGGAGGGAGGGAGGAGGAGGGAGGAGGGACGGGGGAGGAGGAGGAGGAGGAGGAGGAGGAGGAGGAGGAGTAGGAGGAGGGAGTAGGAGGAGGGAGCAGGAGGAGGAGGAGGAGGAGAAAGAGGGAGGAGAGGGAAGGAGGAGGAGAGGGAGGGGGCAGGAGGAGGGAGGAGGAGGGAGGCGGAGGAGCAGAAGAAGAGGAGGCTGGCCTTCGCCGCGCCCGAGGTCGTCGATGTGTTCTCTGGCGTGGTGTCCCAGTCTGACGTGGAGCTTTGCTCAAGCGGGCTGGTTTGCTACACGATCGAGGGCAACTGCAACTCCGAGGCCGACGGGGACTACTTTAGGCGCCGCGTGCTGGGCGGAGCGTCCGAGGAGGAGTACGGCCGGGGACTTTTGGATAGCGCACCGCGCCGACGATTCTGGCCCAGCACGCCTGGGCGCGACATGCCAGCCACTTCCCCATTCCCAAGCGTCTCGCCCTGTGGAGCGGAGCGACACGCTTGCATGGCATAGCGTGTCGCTTGCGCCGCTGCCGCGACACGCTACGCGACGGTTCCCGACCGCAGGTGCCGACACCGCTGCCCCTGTCAGTCCGAGCGGGCCAGGGTGTCGGTTCTCCTCGTGGTGGGAGGAAGGGGAGGATGTATGAGAAGGATAACGAGGGCGAACTAGAGCAGGTGGGAGACGGTCAGTAGCATGACGAAGGATACGTCGACATATGAGGAGGTGGTGATGATGATGATGATGATGATGATGACGATGACGATGACGATGACGATGACGATGACGATGACGATGACGATGACGATGATGATGATAATGATGATGATGATGATGATGATGATGCTGATGATTATGCTGCTGATGATGATGATGATGATGATGATGGTGATGGTGATGGTGATGGTGATGATGATGATGATGATAATGATGCTGATGATGATGATGATGATGATGATTATGATGCTGATGATGGTGATGGTGATGGTGATGGTGTCGATGCTGATGCTGAGGATGCTGCTGCTGATGATGATGATGAGGATGAGGATGATGATGATGATGATGATGATGATGATGATGGTGATGCTGATGACGATAACAATGATGATCTGATGAAGATTATGATGATGCTGATGATGACGATGATGACGACGACGAGGAGGATGATGATTATGGTGGTGCTGATACTGGTTGTGGAGATGATGATGCTGATATTGATGATAATTGCGAAGGTGACGGTGGTGGTGTTGATGATGATGATGATGATGATGATGATGATGGTGATGATGATGATGATGATGATGATGATGAGGATGAGGACGTCGATCATGATGATGATGATGATGAGGAGGAGGAGGAGGAGGAGGAGGATTATGATGACGATGAGGATGATGAGGAGGAGACCCCCCTGCAGGCATCCAGTCTGCGCGTCGGGGATGTCGCAGTGGGCCAAGCTGGACGAGACCTACCGCATCCGCTACGACGATAGAGCGATCGAGAGCATGGGTGTTCGGTTGACAGAAAGTCCAGGGATGGGCCAGAGGGGAGAGGAGGAGAAGGCGGAGACGGGAGGAGAAGGAGAAGGGGGAATTGCGCATCAGAAAGCGATTTGGTGCCAGCCAGCCCACTTTCCAGGTAAAGTGGTGCAACCCAGCCCTTCCCATGAAAAACATCTCATATGAGAACTCTGTGAAGACGTCTCAATTCTGTGAAGACGTCTCAGTAATCTCTGGCGTTGATGCCCTGGAAACCCTCATGTCGAGCACTCCCGACCTCCTTGCCTGCTGCACCTACGAGGTGCTTATACAGGCGCTCCTGGAAGGCATCAGGGCCAAGGAGGCAGACCAGGCGGCCTAGATGTAGTCACGTGATTGGTCCTTTGGATGTTCATTCACCAGGAAGGAGCCGGAGCCGCCCTTGACGCCGTTCACCTCCGTTGCTACGATCCCAGGTAAGGGCGCGTATGCGGTTTGGTTTGGCTCCAGGTGGCGACCAACTCTTCGTCGTGGATGGTTTGGATGTCCCAGGTTTGGATGTGTGCACCACGTACAAGCCAAGGACATAATTATCTTGCTGGCGGGGCGTGACGTCTCATTCGTCGGCGCCACTGTCGAATGATTTCGGGCCTGCTCTGCTGCTGGGTCAGGTCGAGGAGCTTGCCTCGCGCCTATCATGAGCTTGAGCATCGGCAAACTGAGCAGGCAGATCTTGGAGCTGGCCCAGCAGCTGCCAACGTCGGCACTGCAGTTGAGGTGTCCATACTTCTGCTGTACCTGGTGCTGGCATGTCGCAGCTGTCCGTGCAGGTTGAGGATAAAAATGGTCGCTATCCTTGGCGCATGATGCATCATTGGAACTAGGTGTGTTGGAGGTTCCATTGTGCGATGGCATCTTCAATGCTTGCCACATCTTTGCGTCGCCCTTTTTCTTCACGAGGTGAGCTATCGCCCGTCGAGCAACGCCTTCGGACTGAACCCGCTGGCCGAGATCCTTCGTTTCCACTGTGACGTGACGCTTCCTGAGCCCGATCGAGCTAAGGGTTCCACCGACGACCTTACCCGCTTCTAGAAGCAGTTGCTCGTGTGAGCTCAGCGCCTGCTGACCTGCACCATTGCCGCCTTCTGCTGGAACTTGGGGCTGTTGCCCTGACGGCCGCAGCCATCGCCAAGCCCTTGCAGACGCCGCGCACGTCCAATGCTAGGACCGATCGCAATTCCACAATGGTTTGGGCCTCCGCCCGTGTTGCCACCACTGAAGTCCGCGCATGAAATTAATGGGATGCCGCTGGTGCCCGAAAGGCGACGGGAGAGAAGGAGGAAGACGAGGGGGAGGAGGAGTTTTTTTTTGGGGGGGGGGATCAGGGAAAGGAGGAGGAGGAGGAAGCGAAGGAGGAGGAGGAGGACGAGGATGATGATGATGATGATCATGATGATGATGATGACGATGATGATGATGAAGAAGATGATGATGATGATGGTGATGATGATGGTGATGATGATGATGATGGTGATGGTGATGGTGATGGTGATGGTGATGGTGATGGTGATGGTGATGATGATGATGATGATGATGATGATGATGGTGATGGTGATGGTGATGGTGATGGTGATGGTGATGGTGTTGGTGATGGCGATGGTGATGGTGATGGTGATAATGATGATGATGATGATGATGATGATGATGATGATGATGATGATGATGATGATGATGATGATGACGATGATGCTTATGATGATGATACTGATGATGATGCTGATGATGACGATGATGATGATGTTGTTGGTGATACTGAGGAGGAGGAGGAGGAGGAGGAGGAGGAGGAGGAGTGAGGAGAACGAGAATAAGCAAAAGGAGGACGAGGAGGATGAAGAGGTCGACGACAACGACGTAGACGACCAGCACGACAAGGAAGGCAAGGAGGACGAGGAGAAAAACAAGGAGGACAAACGAGAGGAGGGAGGAGGACGGCAAGGAGAGCGAAGAAGAGGAGGACCAGGATGCTGAGGAGGACGGTGAGAATGAGGACAAGGATGGGGGGCTAGGAGGAGGAGGACGACGAGGAGGACAAGGAGGGGGAGCTCTGGATGCTTTGGAGTCGGAGGTTGATAGACCTCCTACCCTGACACGTCGATTAGCGAATTGGCCGTTTTCGGTTCGCGAGAGGGCGTCGCGGCCGTCATTTTTGCGGGTCCAGGTCCGTCGGTTTCGGTCCTAGGCCGTTTTCAGTAAAAGGTGGTTTACTAATCGGCGGTCTGTCCACCGCCGAAAGGAGCTTCTGGTGAGCTGAGCGGCACACGTACTGGGAAACAGTTAGAGAAATGGCCTTCTGGGACCCGCTGCAGTCCCGCAGGAGTTTCTCCGGCGATCCCTGACGGAGGCCGAAGTCTTCATGCCCGATGCACCTGCGGAGGTCCGCGCGGATCTCCTGCAGCGGTGCTGGAGCGCGCCGGTGGCGCCGCCCCCCGGCGCGCCCTGCGCGCCAGGGAGGGGGGCCTCGGCCCAGATCCAAGCAGTTCACGCGGAGCTCCGAGAGTTTATGTTTATGTTGTTGCTTGTGCATCGAAGCAGGGAGGAGGCTGGGACGAGGAGAGGGATCCAGGGAGGAAAAGGCCACTGGACTGGGCAATGGGCGGTGGCTAAACGGCCCTGAGCCTCTATTGGACAACCCTGGATGATTCCTTCTTGAAACGGCTTCGCGTGTCGGGGTGGTTATTATCGGGGCGAAGGCAGCGGCTCGCCGGGCGACGAAATCAGCACATATCCGCTGCTCCCCGGCTGGGCCCTTCTCGGGCCCAGGGTTTGTGCACACGCCCTCCTGGCCGAGCCAGGAGGGCGTGGCGTCTGCACAGCTGTTGGGCCCAGGATGGGCCTGGCCAGGAAAGAGTAGATGTGTGTATGTATGTGTCGATGTATGTCGGTCAGTTTGGATGTATGTATGCATGCATGTATGTATGTCTGTCTGTCTGTATGTGTGTCTGTTGGTCTGTTGGTCTGTGTGTCTGTATGTATGTATGTGTGTATGTATGTATGTATGTATGTATGTATGTATGTATGTATGTATGTATGTATGTATGTATGTATGTATGTATGTATGTATGTACGTACGTATGTATGTATGTATGCATGTATGCATGTATGCATGTATGCATGTATGCATGTATGCATGTGTGCATGTGTGCATGTATGCATGTATGCATGTATGCATGTATGCATGTATGCATGTATGTATGCATGTATGCATGGATGTAGTTATGTATGTATGTATGCATGTATGTAAGGACGTACGTACGTACGTACCTGTGTATGTATGTGTGCATGTATGTCTGTATGAATGTATGCATGCATGTATCATGTATGAAGGTGTATGAATTTAGGTACACGTATATGTATTTGTGTGTGCGTTCACACACATACATACATACATGTATATATATGTGCATATTTGTATGGATGTGTGTATGTACATTTGAATAGATGTATACATTTGTATATGTGTGTATGCACATATAACACACATATATATATATGTGTGTGTGGCCTCGCACAATGTTCGGTATCCAGCCTTATCTCATCTTCGCGTTCTCTCCCAGGGGGCGCTGCGCATCCAGGTACGCGGGAGCCCACGGGAGCGACCGGGAGCGGAGGCAGACCTGCCTTGGCAAAGCGACGTCTAAAGAAAGAGAGAGAGAGAAAGAAAGTAGAAAAAGAGAGAGAGAGAGAGAGAATCCACTAAGTCGTCGTCGTCGTCGTCGTGGTCATGGTCGTCGTCGTCGTGGTCGTCGTCGTCGTAACGGGTCTTGCGAAAGAAATACTAGCCAGCTTGGACCCCGAATCCCACTAAGATGTCGTTGATCCCGCTGCGAGGGCACAGGCCTGTCAAGTCCTCGTACCACGCTTGGCTATTCGCCGGCGTGGCAGTGCGGGCCACCGCAGCTCGTATTCGGACCACGGGACGGGCCGACAAAGAAAAGCGGCCCAAGGGATCCGTGCGGACCTCCTAAAGTGCGCGTTCGTGCAGATGTTTCGTCTTTCACAGCCCACCCTCTTCGGATGCAGCACCTGGGAAGTTTAGTTCAGCATCGGCGCTGGTATAGCCGTGGCCGAAACGGGCCAAGTCCGGCATGATCCCGTTTAGCTCTGCTTGGTTTGGCATAATCCCAGGCTCCATCTGGCCGATCCCACTAACTGACCGCCCCCTTAATCGGGCTCAGTAGCACTTGACCGCTCTGATGGTGGCCTCCCAGAAGTTGCCTCCGAACGTTCATGCAGATTTTTCTTCTTCTACTCAAGCGGTGGCGAAGCGTCCTGGCTCGCCTATAGGCCAAAGAATGCTCTGAGAACCTTTTGTGGTCTGCGCGACATGTCCTTAGAACACTTCTGGCTGAGCCTGTCTTGTCTTTTCACGCGTGGGGCTCATGGTCTAAGACCATATTGTTTTTGTTCTGAGAACACTTTTGGGTTCTGAGAACATTTCGTGGTAGGCCCATAGGGATGCCAGGACGGTCGGTCCCTGCTGAATCTACAGCCCGCCTCTCCGCGCGGTCGAGTGGCATCGCGTCCTGCGCGCGAAGGCGCTGCGAGCAGGGCGGCGGCCGTGCGCCGAGCCACGCCCCGCCCCGACTCGGCAGAGCCTATCCTATGTGCTGCTGCTCGCTGCGGGCTGCTGCTCTTATGCCTGCTCCTCCTCCTACTCCTCCTCCTCCTCCTCCTCCTCCTACTACTACTCCTCCTCCTCCGCCTCCTCCTCCTCCTCCTCCTCCTCCTCCTCCTCCTCCTCCTCCTCCTCCTCCTCCTCCTCCCCCGTCTCGTTCGTTCGAGGTGGCCGCTGGATGATCGAGCAGCCTCAGGACCTCAGCGTCGACGCCTACGGCCTCAGTCTCGCGCGGCAGCCCTCCTTCGTCTCCCTGCCGGTGATAGGCACGCACCAGTGGGACAGCTGGTGCGCCGCAGGGCGGCCCGCGGCAGTCGATCAGACCCCGAGATCCCCAGACCTCTAACGCATTGAAACATTCAGTGCGGAGTTTGGCGCAGTTTTCGGGCCTCTGAGGACCATGGCTGGACACTCGCTGGGCCCCAGGGCCGGCAGAAAAAAACGGCTCGGGACGAGAAGCCGGCCCTGGGGAACGGGCCCAGACTTCCGGGGGCCCTGGATCGAGGAAGCCCGAGCGTCGGATCTTTGGGGTCAAGGCATTGCCCTTTCCTTCGCACCTCGCTCGCTCGCCCGGCTTCGGGCTCCCGGGGCCATCACAGAGCGGCCCGGCTCGAAGGGCGCTGCAGCAGCAGGGGGTCTCGGGCGCCCGGCGCGACTTCTCGCGGTGTGGCAGCTGTCTCGCAGCGTCGGGGCTCAGGAGGGGGAGGAGGAGGAGGAGGAGGAGGGGGGGGAGGAGGAGGAGGAGGAGGAGGAGGAGGAGGAGGAGGAGGAGGAGGAGGAGGAGGAGGGCAGGGAGTGGCGCCATGAGTTCCAAGAGTTCCATGACTCCCCATATTCCCTGATGTTCCCCGCGGGCTGCAGAAACGAGGGCCGCCAGATACGCCGGAGCTCCTGAAGCTTACCTGGAGCCGGTCGCATCACGGCATCCGTCTTCTCCTGGCCTGTACGATTCTCTTCGGATCCGTCGGCCCCCCGCACCGATCGCCGACGGCACCAGTCTCGGGCAGCGCGCTGCGTGGAGGAGGCACCGACCCAAGATGCTGGCGGGGCTCAAAGATGAAATCGCGCGCCGCGGACAGCTTCTGCTCATGCAGCTGCCTCTCCTCGGCGGCAAAGCCCAGGGTGAGAGTGCGAGAGGCCAGCCTGTAGTGAGGTCGGCGGGCCGCCGATGGCTGCCGAAGGCCGCCGGCCGATGGCGGCCGAAGGCTGCCGATGGCCTTCCAAGTGCCGCGGGCGGGCCGTCAGCCCAGGTGCACCGGCGACGCGAACGCTTTCCAGCAGACGGCCACGCGGACTTTGGTAGAGATGAAGCTGCGGGCCTGCACCTGCACAGACGACCTGGACTGCAACGGCCGCGGGCCCAGTTGATGCACAAACGAGTTGCAGCCCAAAACAGAAACACCAAAAGGGTAGCACAAAACGTGACCGAGCTCGAAACGGTGCAAACGAGCATCCCAAGCAGGGCAGTAAAAACGGATCCCCAAATAGAGATCACGCCGATCTTGAAAAAGGGGGGAAAGCGCCCCTGGCGTTTCTACCATCATCTAAGGCCACGGGGTCGCGGTGGGCTCGAAGGAGTACGGCCCCAATTGCAAGTGCTATTGCGACAGGGGCTGGAGCGGGGACCACTGCGACTACAGGATATGCAGGCCCCCCATGCCGCCTGCCAGCCCCTCTCTCCTCCACTCCCACGGGCTCATTTCGACTCCTCCGACTCGATTCGATCCAAATTCCATCGATTCCAGTTCCGGTTGCGATTCGACGTCGGATTCTGATTTGGACCTCGGTTTCTCCATGGAGGCCTCGCAAGCCTGCCTCGGCCACGCGCAGAGGGGGGTAGGGGGAGGGGGGAAGGCTTCTTAGAAGCACCCCTGCTTCTTAGAAGGCGCGGGCCTTATGTATAGATGTAAGGCCGCCGCCTTCTAAGAAGCAGCCTCCTTCTAAGAAGCCTTCCCCCCTCCCTCCACCCCCTTCTGCGCGCCGCCAACTGCCGATTTCCCCCGGTTCGACTGCTCCCGACTTGGCCGCCATGTTCCGCCGAGCCGAGTCCTTTCGACCGGCGATCCGCCTTGCCGGTTCAATTCTGGGCTCTCCTGCCTCGGCCGCCCCTGCCTCTCCCCCCTCCACCAGGAGTAGGTCGGGCCTGCTCTGCAGGGGGAATGTTCAAAAATAGTCCCAAAATAGTCACGGGACTGTTTTTGAGCATTGTTTGACCATTTGGGAGCATTTCTTGAGTATGTTCTATTTCTTGCCGAACATCCCCCCTGTAGGGGGGGCAGGCCCGACCGAACACTAGACGAAGAAGCACGGCATAAACATAAGTTCCAGAATTCCGCGCGCTTTCTTTCAGCCACGCGCAGAAGGGGGGTGGGGGAAGGAGGAGGGCTTCGTAGAAGCACCCCTGCTTCTTAGAAGGCGCGGGCCTTCTCCATAGACGTAAGGCCGAGGCCTTCCAAGAAGCGGGGTGCTTCTAAGAAGCCTTCCACCCTCCCCCTACCCCCTTTTGCGCGCCGCCACAATATTCAAGAATAGTCAAAAAATAGTCACGGGGCTATTTTTTGAGCATTGTTTGACCATTTGGGAGCATTTCTTGAGTGTGCTCTAGCTGTTGCCGAACATCCCCCTGTAGGGGGGACAGGCCCGACCGAACACTAGACGAAGAAGCACGGCATAAACATACCTATCGGTCATTGAAAGTAGGTATTTGTGGATTCCCAGATTCCAATCTACTTTCAGTGCCTTCCTACTTCAAGAGTCGAGTGGTTCTCCCTCTTCCCTCCTCTTCGGGAGGCGGGCGGAAGCCCAATCAATTCCCAACGCCTTCCTACTTCATGTTTCTACCTACTTCTTCCGACCGATGGGTAAGTTCCAGAGTTCCGCGCGCTCTCTTGGGTCTGCGCTGGGCCCCCCCTGCGGCGCCTCCAGCGCCGCCCCCGGCTCGCCCCGCGCGCCAGGGGGGGGGGGGCTCCAGCGCCGACCCGGGACATCCGCGCGGAGCTGCGAAGGGAATGCCTGGGCCGTTCCCCCTTCCACGAAAGTGCCGCTCGCTCTTCTTCTTCTTCTTCTTAATATTAATATTATTATTATTATTATTAGTCGTATTCTTCTTATTCTTAGTTTTCTTATTATTATGTTTCTTATTATTAGTATGTTCCGTCTTCTTATTATTATTATCATTATTATTCTTGGTATTCTGCTTCTTATGCTTAGTCTCATCTGTATTATTATTATTATCATTTTTATTATTAATATTATTAGTATTATCACTATTATCATTATTACTATTCGTATTCTTATTATTATTATGTTCGTCCTCCTGCAGGGCGCCCGCGGTGCTGAACGCGGACCAGCCCTCGTGCCTGGAGGGCCTGAACATCGAGCCAGGCGGGCGGGCTCGGCGCAAGAGCGTGGAGTCGGGCCCGTCCTTCGCCAGGAGGAGTATGCTAAAATAGTAAAAACAAAAATCGTCGGGGGACGATGTTTCGAGCAGTTGTTTGCCATTTGTCGGGGGAGAAAAAGATACGGATACGTGTTGTCCCCCTTCGTTTTCGGCCTTTCCTGGTCCTCCTGGGGAATCCTCGTTGTCACCGCTGGATTCGCCTCGAAATTCTGGTCAGAACGAACCCCAAGAGAGGTCCGGGGACAACACGTATCCGTATCTTTCCGCCCCCCAAATTTGGGGGCGTCGTGGTATCCTCGTTTGGAGTTGGCTGTGGAACCCTTGACAGAAGACAGCGCTGCATCCAGCCCTCGAGCCCGACACGCGCCCGTCGCCCTGGCAGTGCGAAGGCGGCCGGGAGGGACGATCGCAGGTTCGTGTTCCCCTCGGTCTGGGTCAGGGGCTGCGGCTCGCAGGTTGTTTGCCATTGGGAGGCATGTTTCGCACATGTTTTTCGTCGGGGATCTGCCTGCAGGCAGGGGGACATGCCCGACCTAACACAAGCGAGGGCCCTGGAAAACGTCGCGACGGGCGGTGTGGGGGGGCGCGGCTTTGAAAGAACAGCTGTTTCTTCTAGGCAGATCTGCCTTCCAAAAACCGTTCTGACGGAGTAGACCTTTATTTTTGCTGCAGGCAGATCGGCCTTCAGCAAAAACCGTTGTTGCAGGGGCGACTTTTGGCCCCGAGCGCCCTCGCTTGGCCCCGAGAACTCCAAAAGGGGACTCGGGGCGAAAAAGCCGTCGAGACCTCTGGGGGCCGACGGTATGAACTGACGCAGCAAAAAGCATGACTTAAGTCGGGCCCGTCCCTCTAAACGAGGAACATTCAAAACTAGTCAAAAAATAGTCTGGGGACTCTTTGTTGCGTGTTTTTTTGCCCATTTGGGAGTATCTTTTGAGTTTTTTATTTGTCATCGAAAAACCCCCTGAAGGGGGACATGCCCGACTTAAAGCATGACGTCTGGGGTCTGGGCTGGCCCAGCATTGGGTCGGGGCCCTTTGCAGCGCAAATGGGGGCCCCTCGTCGCCACGGTTGGACGCAGCTCGGAAAACTTGTGCGCCTGGACTTTTGTCTGGACGCCCGAAATGGGTACGGAAAGAATGGGTACGATGCCCAACAGCAGTTCCTGTTCATTTTGAACAGGACTCGCTGTTCGCGCCGCCGCGGCCTGTGTCCATTTGAGACAAAAGGCCGCCCGCCCAACAGCTGCCGCTGTTGGTTTGGGACAACACTTGTTGTTGGGCATTGGACCCATTTTTTCCGTACCCATTTCGGGCGTCCAGATTTGGGGAGGGGCCACAGGGACTGATTTTGAGCTGCCGTTGTCTTAGACACGCACTGCTCCGAGTATGACCCTTTGTTTTCTGTCGCTCAGGAGGGAAGTGCACCCCGGCATGCAAAGCCAATTATTACCCCACGGTCGGCTCGTTGACCTGCTCAGAGTATGGCAATTTTAGCTCCAACGTGTTCGGCAGCTTCGCCACCTCATTCGAGTGCGGAGATGCCGACATAAGCAGCCAGCTGTCGGACGCGGCGAATCTCGGCATCGACGTCAGCAACCTCTCGGTAGAGCCCGTCTGTGGCTCGTATGACTGCAACAACAACGGCGTTGCCACAGGACCTTGGCTGCCAGGGCTCTCCGCGCTCGCAGGGGGGGGCCCTCGGGCAAGGAGGCAGGCCCGGGCTGAGCGCACTGCTGCTCTTCAGAGCGGCGTGCTGGCCTCTCGATGGCTTCTCAGGATGCACCTCCCGGGAGGTCAACTTCTGATTCTGCCCTCGTCCGAAAGAGTCCCCCGCAGTCCTGCTTTATCCGGCTTCCTCCGGCGTGATCTCGCTGCCTCCGCGGCCCAATCCGGCGCAGCAGCCCTCCTGAGGGGGCCCGATGCTCCCAGAGGTCGTTCCGACGGAGGCCTTCCCAGTGGTTGCCTCTCAAGGCTTCGGGATGGCAGAGGCTTGCCGTGGCACGACTCCTCCCCGCTGGCAGGAGCGTGTTTTCTTTCTTGCTTGGGGCGTAATGGGCACCATAGCCCCCGACCCCCCTCCCCCCCTAACGTAACGCCCCTCCCCCCCCAGTGCGCTCCAGGCACTGCCGCCGTGCGCTCCCCCCCCAGTGCACTCCAGGCACTGCCGCCGTGCGCATCGGGCACACGGCGGGGGGGAGGCGTTGCACTATACCCCCCCTGGCCCCCCCTTCCCCCCCTCTAATTCATAATGCCCATGACCGCCCAAGATAGAGAGAAACGCGCTCCTGCCGTGGCACGGCACCTCCCCACCTGGCAGTGGGCCCGCACTGGGCGAGCTCCTGCCTGCGGAGAGCGACCCTCGAGCGGCCTGCCCATGGCTGGGACCGCCGAGGCCTTCCAGATGGGGTCGGAATGGATATGGATGGTCCCAGGCGATTCTCTCCCCGAGTTCCTCCTCCTCCTCCTCCTCCTCCTCCTCCCTCCTCCTCCTCCCCTCCTCTCTCCTCTCCCTTCCTCCTCCTCCTCCTCCTCCTCCTCCTCCTCCTCCTCCCCTCCTCTCCTCCTCCTCCTCCTCCTCCTCCTCCTCCTCCCAACGGGCACCCCCGGGATGGTCGCAGGCGGGTCTCTCCCCCCATCCCCGAGTTCCGCCCGAAGAGTCTGACCGCTCAGACAAAGGGGAAGGAGGGGGGGGGGGAACTTTGGGATACACCCCAAGGGGGCCGCCCGGACGCCACCCTCTCGAGGCCGGGCGCCTCCCCGTCGCGTACCCCAGGGTGGGGCTCAGAGTTCCTGGTCCAGTGGAACACCCCACGAAGCCTGGAGTAGGGGTCGACATATCCCCTGTTGGATGGGTTCGGAGGGTCACGCCGCATCACCGACGCATCGGTGATGCGGCTCACCTGTGAGGCGTTCCACAAAGGGGGATCGAAGGAGTTGTCGTCTGATTCTCTGCGGAAGGCGGCGGAAGAATGGCGGAAGCTGTTGGAAGTTTTCTTCCGCCGCCTCCGCCAGCGGAAGGCCGGCGGAAGGCCGGCGGAAGTAAAAGATTCGCCCCCAAGAGATGACAACGTTTCTGGGTTAAGGGTTTCCAGAATCGGCCATGTGGAGCCCGATGTTCTTGACGCCGACGTCACCGATGCATCGCTGGCGTCACGTACGTATGGCCGATGCGTCGGTGCTGGCGATGCGGCACGATCCTCCCCCCCATCTCTGGTATAGCCAGGACCCCAGGTAAGGAGGCCCGGTTAGTGATAGCGCCCCAGAGCCCCTTAATTGGTCAGAACCACGAAACCAGGTCTGCCGTAGCTGGTGTTTTTTTCGGGTGACGGCAGTTCCGTTTAGTGGAACGGGGCGGGGGGGGGGGGCAGTACACATCATTAAACCAGGCCCCACTAAACCCAGTTCTGCCAACGCCCGACCATTTATGTCGACCCTACCTGAGGGGTCTCATCACCAGCCCCCGCGCGAGCCTTCCTAGCCCCTTGGTATCTCTGCCTCGCTCGCAGGCATGGACGCTCCCCTGGTGCACTGGCGAGTCGGTTGCACGTGGCAGCAGTTCGTCGGCCACGGTCAGTGCGTGTCGGGATGCGTTTGCCGCCGCGGCTACGCGCCACGGAGTACACTCGACCAGGACAGTAAGGATGCGCGGTAAGGGTGCAAGGGCCTTGGAACGCCATGTTGACGTTTTCCGCGCGGAGCGCAGCAGAATTCCGAAGGATGCCCAATACCAGAGGGGCCAGGGATGCAAGGGTAGCCTTGGAAATTTGCCCCATCCTTCTGGCTGTAGGAAATCCGGCCGGCAGCGGGGGGCACCCTTCTGCACGAGTTCATGATAGTCGCATGATTGAGTGCGCTCCATCGGTTTGTTTTGTTGAAGTTCGGAGTTCCTCCGTTCCACTCTTTGCTGGAATAATGCCCGCGCCGCGCAAAAGTGCGGGAGACCTCCAGGCTGTCAGTGCGCCCACCATGCACGTCTCTTCTATGCCCACTGTAAGTAAAAGAGTCGTATGCGATGTACGGAGGCTGTTGTCAACTTTTCGAAGCCGTCTGCAGCAGGTCGCGGACCGTCGACAGTTCCTGTTGATGCAGTTCGGGCGGGTAGTAATGGGGAGTGGCATACATGGGGGGTAAAGAGAAGAGCCCCGAAAGGGCCCCGTTGGAGCCAGCAGAAGCCAAAAAGAGACCCAAAGGGTCTCTTTAGGGCCTTCTTCTTCATCCCCCATGTTGGTCGCCCCCAACCCCACCGGCCCGAACAGTTTTTCCACAGCAACAAAATCCTCCTCCTCCTCCTCCTTTTCCTCCTTTTCCTCTTTTTCCTCCTCCTCCCCCTCCTCCTCCTCCTCTCCCTTCTCCTCCTCCTCCTCCCCCTCCTCCTCCTCCTCCTCCTCCTCCTCCTCCTCTCCCTCCTCCTCCTCCTCCTCCGTAGCCATTTTGGCTCAAGAACCATGCTTTGGCGGGCTGAGCCCGCATTGGCAAAAACGGATACCGCTAGTCCGCGGCAGCTTTCAACCTTTCAGGAGGTCCCTCTCTCGAGGGGTTCGCGAGCCTCCAACATCCCCTTCCTTGCTCTCGCGCCATGGCTCCTGCTGGCCCTGGTGAGTGGGAGCGCCGCCCGTGGGTCCAGGCCTCCAGGCCCCGTCGCTGGGGAGGCACTATACCCGAGGGAGGAGTATCGGCTGATAAGTGGGATAAATGGGACAGCCAGCGAGGCAAGCACGAGGAGGATTGGAAGACGGTGGCTGGGCCCAAAGGTGAAATTCTATGCCACCACTGCGGTTGCAGGAAGAACTCAAAAGGATCGATGTGCTGCAAACATTGTGGCCAAAAGCTTGGCTCTCGACCCCAACCTCTGGAAGACCCTGGGGCCCCCAAGGCGTCGGATGAGATGGGGAAGGGAGCGGGCAAAGGGAAGAAAGGTTACAAAGGTGGCAAGGGAGATCCGCTCGGTGGCAAGGGTACAGGCAGCCTCTCCTCGGCACTCCCTCCTGGACCTGTTCCCGAGATTCCTCAGGCCAAGGCTCTCGAACTACAGCGTTTGGCTCGTGAGGCTGGGGACGCTGTGGGGGCCGCGCGCTATGGAGCCCTGGCGCAGAGAGCGGCTCCGCCCCCGAAGCCGTCGGGGAGGCAGAGGCTCATTGCCGCGGAGCAGAAGCAGGAGAAGCTCGAGAAGCGCCTCAACAGCGAGTTCGAGAAGCTGGAGCGCTGGCGTCGGGCGACTGAAGAGCTGGCAGCCACGGTCGGGGCCCTGGCCGACGAGCTGCAGGCCGCCGACGCCGAGGTGGCAGCTGCCCTGGTGGAGCTCCAGAGCCAGCACAGGGGACCACCAGCGGCGGAGTCCAGCGGCCTGGCGAGCATCAGCCTGCGAAAGCTCATTGACGGTGAAATGGAGTTGGCCAGCCTTATTTCTTGTGACGATTTCATTGATGTGGAGGCTGTCAAGGGCAGCTACGAGGTGTCTGAAGAGGACCTACGTGAGCTCGAGGAACGCAAGAACGACGTGGCGAAGCAGATGCAAGAGGTGCTGGGATCGGTGTTTCGCCAAGCGCTGGAGAAAGCCAACTCCGCTCAGGACCAGCACAAGGAGCACCTCAAACGTCTTCAAGCTAAGCGACGACGTACCGCTGATGATGGCCCTGGCGAACAAGATGCAGCCACTGGGGGGATCGAGACTGGACCAGGGGTATCGCCAAGCCCAGAGACAGCGACGCCGAGCTCAACTGCTGAGGCGACGGTGGATGAGCAGGGAAAGGCTGCCCCGCAGGTGGACATTCGCTCTCGTGTCGCTGCTGACGGTGGCGTCAAAGCTGCTAAACGGGCGGGCCTTTAGCAACAGCGTGAGCTCGACTCAGGTGGGGGCGACGTGGTCGAGTTCGGCGTCTCCCTGTTCTGGGTCTTCGAAGTCGTTTGGCACGTGCGCATCGGCGAAGCCATCTTCTTCAGTTGAGTGGTCAGCGTCGTGGTTGGCTACTCCCTGCGCTGCGGTGACGCCGTCGACGCCAGTGTCGGCTACTCCCTCGGCAGCGGTGGCGACGTCGACTTCGCGGGTGGCGTCTACCAGTTTTGTCGGATCGGGGTCCAGGTGCGCCTCGAGCCTGGTCTCCTCAGAGTTTAGTTGCGAGGAAGGGCGGCCACGCGCGTCGGCAACACGTCAGAGCGCCGAGTATGTGACAGCCAGTCAGAACGCAGCCGTCAAGCCCAACCAGAGCTTGGCGGCCCTCCCGTCCAAACCTTTTGTCGGATGCAGGAAGGAAATGTCAGAGTCAGAGCGCGACAGCCAGGTGCTCCTCGAGCCTGGCTGTCTCAGAGTAGTTGGTGGGCTCCCACCGTGGGAGTCTGGAGTTAGATCACAAAATCCTGGGGGCAACCGATGTTCGGACGAAGTGCCCACCCAGGTTCAGTCGCCACGGGCTGGGTCTCGAGCCAAGGGAGTCAGTGTGGAGCCACCTCATGGAGAGTCTCAGGCAGCGCTGAAGCAGAAGCAGGTCATCTCCTTGTTGGAAGGGCTCCCTCCTGAGGATTACAGTGCCTTAGGTACGTTCCGGGTCGGCACTCTCAATGCGAATACGTGGCCAAGGGCTCGGATCACCATGCCATGGATCGAGAAACAATGCCAGATGCCGCATGTGTTATGTATTCAGGAGACCGTGTTGGACCAGACGGGGGAAGCAGGAGCCCATCAATGGTCTCGCTCCTGCTCACGGAAGCTGGCGCTGGGTTCGGCCAAGCGCACTGGAGAATCTGCCAGATCTCTCTCAGCAGGTGTTGGCTTGTCTGCGGCCATGGGTATTGGTGTGGCCAAGCTCCAGGTGCCAGAGAGATGGCAGCACCGCGTGGTGATGAGACTCATGACGGTTGGCACGCACTCGTGGATCATCATCGGCTCAGTCTACGGCGTCGACTCCATCGGCCCCAAGGGCGAGAACCTGGAGTTGCTGGAGTTCCTTAGTGCCTTCTTTGGGGCGCAGCGTTTCCCGTTCCTGCTGGGAGGCGACTGGAATCTAGAACCCGAGGAGATCATGGAGATAGGCTGGCTGGACCTGGCAAACGCCACCATCTTCGCACCTGGCCTCCCAACCTGTAATGGCAAGGAGTATGACTACTTCATTGGCTCCCAGGCCCTGGACGCCTTCCCCATGTCGGTGGAGGCCAGGTTGGACTCGCCGATTTCGCCACACTGCTACGTGGAGATCAAGCTCGAGGGCCTCAGGGATGAGCCATTTGTCTGGGTTGAGACGCCTCCGCGTGCCTTTCCGCTGGCTGATCAGGAGGCCAAGAGGAAGACCAGGAAGAAGGATATGTGTGCCAAGGAGACCAGTCTCACCTCGACCACTGAGCCGCCAATGGTACCTGTACTTGAGGAGTGGCAGCTGGACGCCCCCGTGAACTCGGTCGAGGAGGCGGCAGCGAGGTGGTTCCACGCGGCGGAGAAGTACCTGGTGCAGTTGTTCGAGATTCCGTCCTCGGACAGGAGGTTCTATGTTGGCAGGGAGAAGGGCGTGGTTCTCAAGAAGAAGAGGCTGGTGGACTGTGCGAAGTCTATTCTGGAGCGCCACGACGAGTCGGACACCAGAGCTTGGTTAAGCGCCCTCAGGCTATGGGACGCCCTATGTGTTGCATCGTCAGCTCCGCCTGGTTCGAAAGCAGGCAGACCAGAGCACTCCGCGAGGTGCGAAAGGCAGCTGCTGGCCCTGAAGCTCCCTGAGGCCATCTCGGATTCCCCCTCCCTGCAGGCAAAGGAGGTCCAGAAGTGGGTCGCCTTGGCCAAGAGGGGAGGTCAATTGTCTGCCTGGTTTCGGACTGTGCTGGCGGAGGAGGTGGAGATGCGCAGGCGCAAGGACTCACAAGCCAGGAGCAAAGCCTGGAGAGAGTTTGGCGAGCTCGCAGCGGATGGTTCTGGCAGGATTGCGCACGCGATCTCCGGGCCCAAGATGTTGGAGGAGGCGCCCACTCTGGCCAAGGGCAAGCCCCATGGGCTCGTGGGAGCTGCGGCGATTACGGCGGTGCTGGAGGAATGGGAAGAGTGGTGGATCTCTGACGACAGGGCCCAGGAGGCAGCGCCGTCGGGCTGGAGCTACCCGTGGAAACTCGACCAGATCTCGGAGGACCAGATCGTCCAGGTCTGCCGCTCCTTTGGTATGTCCACTGGGCTGGGCTGGGACAACTTTCACATGAGGTTGGTGAGATTCCTGGATGGGGTGTTTGTGCGGAGGCTACAAGAGATTTTATCAAGATGGGAGCGCAATCCGCAGTGTGAGCGCATGTGGGTCACGATCAATGTATTTCTGCCTAAGCCAGGAGGAGGCACACGCCCGATAGGGCTCTTGTGCTTCTGGGCACGTATTTGGAGCAGATGCAGGAGACAATATGTCAAGAGTTGGGAAGTATCTGTAGATGCGAAGTATTTCTGGGGAAAAGATGCCACGACCAGTTGCGACAAGGCGGCGTACTTGCACAACATGCTGGCCTGCTACGCCAGAAGGAAGAGGATGTCGGCCATAACTGTGTTCTATGACATCCGCAAGTTCTACGAGAATGTCAGTCATCAGCAGCTTAGAGAAGCAGCGGAGCACTACAACTTCGACGGCGCCTTGCTGAAGGCGCTCTGCTGCCTATACCGAGCGCCACGCCGTG